ATTTTTCCTTAGCAACCTGGTCAAAGGAAAAGCTATCATATAAAAGTTCTTAACAAACCTTCGATAATAACCTGCAAGACCTATGAAACTCCAAACTTCTGGCACATTCTTTGGAATTTTCCAGTCTAATATAACTTTTATCTTCTAAGGATCTACTCGAATCCCCTCTGCAGAAATCACATACCCAAGGAATGCCACCTCATTTAACCAAAACTCACATTTAGATAGCATGGCATATAACTTCTTATCTCCTAGAGTTTGTAGAACTATTATAATATGAGCGGCATATTTCTCACTGGAATTTGAATATACCAGAATATCGTCAATGAAGACAACCACGAACTTATCAAGATAGGGTTGAAATACTCTATTCATTATATGCATAAACGCAGCAGGCGCATTAGTCAACCCAAACGACATAACAATGGACTCTAATGACCATATATTGTCTTGAAAGTCATCTTTAGAATGTCTCTTTCTTGAATCTTTAATTGATGATACCCAGATCGTAAATTGATCTTAGAGAGGATCGAAGCTCCCTTTAACTGATCAAACAAATCATCGATTCTTGGGAGGGATATTTATTCTTTATGGTCACCTTGTTGAGCTGTCTATAATCAATCTAGAGACGCATTGAACCGTCATTCTTCTTTACAAATAACACTGGAGCTCCCCAAGGTGACACACTAGGTCTGATAAATCCCTTATCCAACAATTCTTGCAACTGAATCTTTAACTCACTTAACTCTTTTGGAGTCATTCGGTAAGGAGTTATAGCAATAAGTGTTGTTCCCAGAATTACTTCAAATTCGTCGAATGGTAATTCCATCAGATTAACAGGGAATTAAATTCCCTGAATCCTTATGGGACACCCTCAACACACCTGATTTACCCGAGCATTATTCCCTAATGGGTTAGTCACTATTACTTTGTTACTTGTTGCTTCTAGATGTATTCTCAACTCTTTCACCAACTTGTTACTAATGTATGAATAAGTGGAACATGAATCAATCAATACTAAAACAAATTTATCAAGTAACTGGAAAATATCTACAATGATCTCTGGATCATCGCGATCTTCATTGGTCTTTATGTTATAAATCCGGGTAGTTGAGCGCACTTCCTGTTGGGTGGAAGACTCAGACTGATTTCTTCCTCTACCTCTTCCTCTTTGAGATAATGAAGCTGATCGCTCAGATTGGGCAGTCTCTCCCATCATCATTGGACAATCCCGGATAAAATGTCCAATGTCTCCACATAAAAAACAAGCTCCGAAGACTACCCTACATACTCCGGTATGGTTCTTTCCACGGTGCTGACACTATCTCGATTGATCCTAATTAGATCTTCCAGTGCCAGACCCTACTGATTGTGTCTGTCTGGTTCTCATCGGATTTGATCCTCTGACAAAGGATGCAGCTGACTCAAACCTCGCCTGAGATCAAAAACGAGAATCTCTGCCTCTCTTTAATGGTGCTAAACTCGAGGAAGCACCAACTCTCTTGGACATCTAAGCTTTCTGCTCTCCAAATCTCTTATTCTGAGCTCAAGAGCTTTAACACAGTTAACCACCTCTTAGAATGAGGATATATTTAAAACTACTAGCATCTCTTTCAATCGAGGACGCAAGCCTTCAACAAACCAATCGCATGCATCCTTCTCATTCGGAATCAATTCAGCAGTAAATCAACTCAACTTATTGAACTCGCACTCGTATTCATACTCGGTGTGATTCTCCTGCTTCAGGCTCATAAACTCTTGTTTCATTTTCCTTACAAACTGATCTCCAATATACTTATGTTTGAACTCTTCTAAGAACAAGGACCATGTTACTTGGTCACTTGTCATTCTCATGGTGACATTTGTCCACAATACTCTAGCTTGCCCTCGCAACAACGAAACTGGTCCATTTAATTTCTCCACTTCAAAACAGTGGAGTCCTTCCAACATTATCTTCACATTATTCAACCAAAAGTCTGCATCAACAGGACCTTCCTCTGTTTCACCTTTGAATTCAGGAGCTCATAGTCCTTTCAACTCTTTCACGATATTCATTCTAGGAATTGAGGGAGTATGAGGTTGGAAATGTGTCAGGATATCGTCCAACGTCCTGAAAAATGCTCTCTGATCTTGTACAGACACTCCCTGAGATGCATGTTTTTCACCTTACCTGGCCAGGGCAGGTGAATTGCTACTTCTCTCATGTTTATCCTCTCCTGCTTCATTTCGGGAGCTCTCGTGATCAGACATCTAATAAGATATAACTAATGAATTCTATTAGCAAGACATCATAATCATTACTTATCAGATCAAAATTTTTCACTTCTTATTGGCATGTATACTTTTTAAAACACATTTGATTTCGGTTTAAGCTTAGAATTGGCTAAACCATAGCTCTGATACCATTAAATGTAACACCCCCGACCCGTATCCGAATCGTATCCGACCCGGATACAAATCCGAGGTGTCACATTGACTTTTCAAATCATTTACTTTTACAAGATAATTGAAAATTCAAACTTTCATTAAAATAAAATTGAATAATTTACATAAATATAATCGAAAAGGTTTACAACTTAAATCAATTCTGATTTGATCTTCGGTTGATATATATTGTCTTGCTGACTTGTCCTAGCTTGGATCTTCTTGTTTCTTTGAACCTACGTGTGAAACACTCACACGCTAAGTCACGGACTTAGTGAGGCATATAATGCAATAATAAAATAATGAAACATGCAATCACATACTTTCATAATATACATGAATCATCATATATCTAATCAACAAGAACATACATCATCATGTATTTAACCAATAATAACACATCCCATTATGCAGTGTTAATTCATGTTATATCTTTTAGTATCTCATGGTACATTACTGAGAACTTAAGGTATGCGAGTGTATTGAGGTTGTGCATAAATGTTGTCACCACAGCTCGTATAAATTGCACCAAAGTGTCACGTAGAAATTGCGCCGAAGTGCCACATAAAAATGTCCCGAATGACCACATAGTATTATCGCGAAGAACCGAGTAGAAATGTCCCGAAGGACCATATAGAATTGTCCCGAAGGATCGCTTAGAACCCTCGACTCTTGGCATGCAAATTATACCCTCAACTCTCATATCACATAATATGGCCTTTACCACTTATATCATTTATTGTATCTTGTATCACATAGACATGTAATCACGTAGGTCATGTCACATGGCTTATATCACATGTTTATGTAATCACGTAGATCATATCACATAGCTTATATTTTGTTCTCATATATTCACATAGATCATATAACACATAGAATAACATATAATACATAGCTCATGTATAACAGTGTGTATAACATATAAGCATATGCATGTACTCATGTACACATAGAAATCATATCAATAATAGACTTGTATTAATGAAATCATGCAATCATACATTGGAAATAGACTCATCGCAAGTTTTCTTTCCATATGATCATATTTCCTAGTAGCATGCACTCATCTTAGCCTCACTTAGTCCAATCAACGCTTATAACTCTTTATCCCTCTCTTGCTCAATCTTATCTTGTTGACTCGTCCCATACTTGCTTGTGTTCTATATCTACACAAATATACGATTAACATAAATATCAGAATTCATATCACTATAATCAATTCTTACTAACATAAGCTAAACAATGCACTTAATTTCACCAATTCTATATGAATACTATCGGTACCTAAGGTACAGTACCGATACTTTTTTACTTATAGTATCGATACTATACTTCGGTATCGATACCTATTCTCGGTTCTGGAATTTCATCTCTGAAAATGGTATCAATACTACTACTTTGGTATCAATACTTTTTGAATAATTCCTCAACTTTTGACTTATGGTATCGATATTGTTCATCCAGTATTGATACCCAGACCCAATTATCACCTATTTTCAATTTGAAGTATCGGTATTGCTCATCCAGTACCGATACCCCTGCCAAGAACTTATTCTTTTCAACTCGAAATTTGACCAAAACTCCCTTAAACCTTCCACTATGACTTCCTTTCAAGCCTTCAAACTTAACTACACTTATAACAATCAACTTATATTACTATAACACACTTAATTATCAAAATTCCCATAATATCACTTGAAACTAAGAATCTTACCAAACTTTCAACATGCTCTAAACCCATTTCTAACACTTTAGATTTCTTATTTCAGCTTATGACAAGTCAAATTTCACTTCAAAATTTATTTACTAACTTTTTCTCAAAAATTCACTTAAAACCCCTTTATGTTTAATCCCCCATAACTTATAATTCTCTTAGTTTCTATTTCTTTTTAAGCTTTCTTAAGCATTTCTAATACTCCAAGAATCAAAACTACTCATAACTTACAAGAAATATCCAACTGAAAACAATCTTACCTTAGCAATAGAACTCACGGTGGGAGAAAGAAGAAAGGATGAAGAAGGATTCTAGATTTCTCTCTTTTTTTCTCCCTTTCCCCTACTCAATGTGTAATATAATACACCCCAAATGATTTTTTAATCCCATTCTTGCTAAAAGACCTTTTTTCCCTTCCATCTTTCTATCTTTGCTAATTAACCTACACCAATAATTTCAAATTAACTCTCTGAACTTTTCAATTTATCTAATTTGATCGCGAAATATTAAAATCTTACAAATTGGTCACTAACCCAGTTTTTGGGATGTTACATTACTCGACTCGAAAAAGTTTCAAGTCAACTCCGAGTTGTAAATAGGACTCGTCAACTCGAATAACTTAAATTTGTTTTACTCGACTTGATTAAAAGCTCACCCTAATTTTCATACGCTCTTTGATTTTAAAGTTAAATGTTTCGAAATTTTTTAAAATTAAATTAAATCTATAATTTGATATATGAATTTAGTTCTAACATTTAATTTTATACTTAATCGGTGATAGAAATACTATTGGACGAAATAAATCTAAATCATTCCTATTGTATGATATATACACAACAATTTATGCCTACCATAAAGTCATTTGAAAATACCATCTTATTCGTAGTGCTACCGGAAACACAAAGAACCAATAAAGCTACAGAGGAGCCGATAAAGATCCTCGGAAACCGTCGAGTCCATTGTTGTGAATCCTGTTCGAACCAGCAATTCGTCTAGGCTCAATCGTACATTGTTTCGTGCTATTCCCCAAAGACGGCATGTGAGACTCGGGTTGAGAATTGCAAGTTGCAGCTGTAATGTTTTGGCTAACTTCCGAACTACTAACACAATAGAAAGGTGGAGGCTGCATCGGCCGGGGAATTTCGAGAGTATCTTCGGTAAGCATTTGCATGATCCTTGACATCGATGGTCGAATTTCTGCCGAGGCTTGTACACAGAGTAGGCCAATTTGAAGCAACCTAGAGGCCTTTTCTTGAAAATGATATTCTATAACCGGATCAACAGCTTCCCTCAATTTATCTGCTGCATAATAATCCCAAACCTTTCGATTCCGAAAAAATGATCTTCGATCAGTCTAAGACCTTAAAACTAGAGACGAAAAGCGTAGTGTATTCGATAAGCTCGGAAAAATAGGTTACCATGTGTAGGATACAGACAACATCAGGAGAAAAACACTTGTTCCTTCTCCCGCAAGTAATTTCAACAACGAAAACACCAAAACTATAAACATCAGCCTTCTCAGATAACTTGCCACGGACGGCATATTCCGGAGCCATGTATCCTCTAGATATGCAGAGCAATTGAACTCCAAGTTAGTGATATCCAAATTTAAACGACTAACATGATCGATCTGCAACATGTTTAAATATGAGATCATGTTTCAAATACTCTTCAACTTACAATGTGCCAGCGACGGCGGTGCTGATGTGAGACTTATCTTCCGGGAAAAGTCTAACAAGGCCAAAATCAGCGATTTTTGGATTGAGGTCTTCATCAAGCAAAATATTGCTAGGTTTTATGTCTCGATGTATGATCCTCAACTTCGATTCCTCGTGCAGATAGGCCAAGCCCTCGGCCGTACCCAACACGATCTTGTACCGTGCCTCCCATCTTAATGGCTCAACATCTCTTCTAACTGTATCAGATTGATCAGCTCATAAGTGAAAACACACAAGTTATTAAAATTGCAGGATACTAAACCAGAGTTCACGAATATCGACCGAAGAGGTAATCATGTAGGCTCTGGTTCGACACATATTCGTAAACAAGAAGGCTTTCCGGGCCGGTAATGCTGCATCCCAACAGCTTAACGAGATTTTTGTGATGTATGCCACTGATTAAATTCACTTCATTGAAGAAATGATCCACCCATTGCCTTGTATTAAACAAAAGCCTCTTTACTGCAACAACTTTGCCATCAGATAAAGTTCCCTATTTTACAGAGCAAATTTATAGGAAAAACCTTTTTAGTTCCTTGAATGGCACCTTGATTATCTGCTAAGACAACTAAATTATCGAATAACAACCTACTTTGTACACCGAACCGGATCCGCCATGTCCGAGCTTGTTCGAGTCGTCGAAGTAATCTGTAGCCTTTTCGAGAGATTCATACGAAAAATTCAACTTGGACTTGTTCAGCAAGGGTGATAAAGCTCCAAGTTGTTTACTTTCTATACCAAAGAAAAAAATCAGTTCCATTTTCCAGGTAACCAAACAAAAACATTTCAAGATGTCCAAGGACAAGGATCCTACCTTCCCTTTTCTTCACAAGCTTCTTATTAACAAAGAAAATGGCTGCTCCAATGATCAATGTTAGAGCCATTGCAGAGAACGTTGTTGCCAGGATAATAGCTAATCTTCTTCTTCCTGAAAAACATGGTAACATTTATATAGAGCAATGATAATAAGGGCGGCCACGTTTTTCGTTATGTTATGTTTATTACGATTGCGGACATTTAAAATCTGAACTCACCTGGATTTTCAGAAACTGGTGGGACGCTTGAATTGTAATAAAACTTACGAGTCGAATATCTCAAGTAACAACCAGCATTTAACACTCTTCCTTCTTCCTTAGGAAGACAAGAAGTAACCCTAGAAACCGCATCAGCCAAGCAACTTCCACAAGCACTCGCATTCACCAGTTCCCAGCACTGAGCCAATCCATAAACCGAAACATTGTCATCTTTACCCATAGATCGAACAAAGAACCCATCGTTTTTTGGGGCTTCGACGCTCAAATTTGTCACCAACGCCATCACGTTTGCTCTAAAACCTGTTCGGTTACTGGACCCGACAACATCCTTGGTGGCACAAACAGTAGTGTCTCCTTGACTCAAGCTTTCGCCGAAGAAGTTATAATCGTCGTACCTTAAATAACAGCCGTCGTAGAAAAGCCTGCCTCCGCGTGTGCCCGACTGAAACGGGAGACATCTCAAGACTTGCGCTTTGCATTGGGCAAAGCAGACGTTACAGTCGCTTTGATCCAGGTCTTTCATGCACTCACCGAAGGCGTAGACTTTGGTGTCACCGCTTCCGTTGACGAAGGCGGCGTACCTCTGACGGACGATGAGCGGCGTGAATGTGTTCATGGCGGCCAAGAAATTGGCGGCAAAGGTCTTGCGGTTGGTTATTGAAGCGGTTCTGTTGGTGCATACGAGAGCTGCCTCGGTAGCTCGTGGATCAGAGAGAGAAAGGTTTGAAAACGAAGAGAAGATGAAGAAGAAGAGGAGTAACACCTGATGGTTCATTTGTTGATGAGAAAGTGTTGAAAGAAAGGAGATGAATTAATGATGAAACCTTGACATAGAGCTTTAATGTCGTCTTGGGAAGGAAAAACGCGTGAACCGAGCTACGAGGAAGACTTGAACCGATGAGAAGTGTAGGTGGGGACGACCTTTCCTTGTTTGTTTTAAATTTTCCTTTATGAAAGTGATGAAATTTTAGCTGAGGAATCTTCGGATTAATTGTTCTATGACTATTATTGTTTGACTTCTACATTTTTTTTATTTTGCCTTGGCTATCTCCACATTTCAATCAGATTTATGCACTGCAAACGGTGTATATTAGTATGATCGTTCGATCGAGTCGAGTAAAAAAATTTCGAGTTAACAAGTCATATTTTGCAATTTAAACTTAACTTGAAATTTTTTTGACTCGAGTTATTGAGTTTCTATATATTGTATATTCTTTTCACATTACAACGTTATTTAATATATCAAATACAATCTAAAATTATAAAACATATTCATAATATTATATTTTAAAGAAAATATTTTGAGAGTAAAATATTGATGAGAGTATAAAGTAGTCAATGAAACAATGAAAGAAAGAATTTGCAATTAACTGTAGTCAAAAGATCAAATTGAGTGAAATGCAAAATTAAGGGACTAAATAAAAAAGAGAGTATATTTTTACTGAAAAATTAAGAATTGAAGTTAAATAGGTATTCTATTGTGGTATATGAGCTTGTGACTCAAATTTGGTAAAAACATACTTAAAATAAAGCACGAATTGAAGAAATAAGGAAATTATGAAAAATTGAGGGATTAAATTGAAAACTAAAAAAATTATTATCAAAAAGAGGAATTGAAAGTACATATATATTCTACGATGATTTAGGATCATGTGGTTCAAATTTGATAAAAATAGACTTAAAATGAAAGAGAAATTGAATGAATAATGAAATAGAGACTAAATCCTAAAATTGTCAAAATACTTAGTCAAATTTTTAGTTTTTTGAGTAACTCAAAATTTCAACTCAACTCATACTCGAAAACTAAATTGATAATTCGAATTAACTCGAATAACTCAAAATAAAAAAAAATTATTTTTCAAGTCGAACCAAATTTTGCTCACCATAACGTATATGATGCACGAATATCACCACTATCAATGAGTTTAATGATAACAAATGATGGAACGTTTTTAAATTTAAATTTAATATATTATATAAATTTAATTTTAATATATTATAAGATAAAATATTCTTAAAATGTTAATGTAAAAAAATTATAACTTATTTATAGATATTATTAATCAAGTAATTTTGAGTGATTCAGGATTAAAATATAGAGTTATATATGGACAGCGTAAAATATAGTTTGCTTATTATTTCTAATAAGATTCAACGCATCCTTTTTAAAAGAATTTCTTTTAATTAAATAAAAAGGGATTATTGTATAAAAAAAATTAAATCTCTGAAGACAGTTATACCTTAAATTTTAAAAAGTTAATTATAACATTCATTTTTCTTTAAAAGGGTAAATTATTCCAATATTTAGTACATAAATAAACTTTCATTTTTTTCAAATTTATATTTAACGTTTAGTTTTTGTTTCATTTTTGTATCATACTATTAAAAACTTAACAAAAAAGTTGACGTGATATAGCTCTGGTGGATGGATGACCAATCCGAATAGTGGACCACTAACGAATGGCATGCCGACCAACATAATCCAGTTTCAGGGCTATTAGATGATGGACCATGGAAGTTGGATGACCAAGAATGACGGGTACAAAAATGAAACAAAAACTAGACATTAGGTATGATTTAAAAAAAATGTTTAGGTATTGAAACGGGCTAAAATTGATAGTTTAGATACTAAACGCATAATTTACCCTTCTTTAAATTCCCTAATATTTCCTACCCCAGTTTATAAAATAAATTCTGTTAATTCTAATTCGTTTTCATAACTAATTAAAAACCTATATTTCTAAAAGCTTTGAGAAAAAGCTAAGAAAGCAGAGAGAATTTTCACAAAATTTGTGAGGGTAAAAGTGTGTGGGGATTTTAGATATATAATAATTTAGTTAGTTATAGAAATAAAGAGAATTTAGTTTATAAAGTAAGTGTAAAAATATTACTAGAATTTGAAGAAAAATGATGTCATAACAAACTTTTTAAAAGTTTAAAATATAGTTGTTTTTGAATATTTTGAGTTTTTGTTCGTTTTATAACATAATTCTTTCTAATTTAATTAAAATGAATTCTTTAATTTAGATAATAATTATCAAATTTTCACAACATTCACTTAATTAGAATAATTCATTAATTATTCTAAAAAATAGTAAATTCAGTTATCATATTATTTGTAACAACCCGGAAAATTGGAAAAGAAATTTTTTTAATTAAGTAATTTGGCGAAATTTGAGAATTAAATTGAAAGTTTTCAAAACTTGTAGCCTATTTTAGAGTTAAAGGAAATTCAGGGACCAAGCCCTGAATTTACCCAAATAGTATCGACAGAAAATGCATTATATGTGTAGCTCCCAAATTTCCTCCTCCAACACCCAACTTCCAAAACCGATCTCGATGTCGTCCGGCCTCCGATCGTCGATTTGAAACCACCATCGTGTTCGTCATCGAGCGAGGAACAAACCCCTTAAATCAATTGAAGTGTAACGCTGTCAAACGTCGTGAATTTTGATTTAAAGTTTTGATTTTTTTAGCACCACCGTCGAGAAAATCTTCAATTCATCGTCGATCGTTGCTCCGTTTACGCCGGTGTCCTCCTTGTCTCTGTCGGCGACGGCGCGTGAGGGAGGTTAAGCGGTCAAAGTTTTCGACGTATTGAAATTGAGCTCTCCACCGTTCAAAATTGTGAACCGAGCTTTGTAAGTGCCTCAAAATCGCTTAAAATAATTTTAGAAAAATATTTCGTGATTTTTAGGACACTAGAGCACGTTGCATGCGCCCCCAACCCGCAGCCCCTGCGCGTAGGGGAGATTCGAAATGACATTAGGGCAGTTTGATCGGTTTGACTGGTTTGACCGGTCTGAACCAATCCGACCTGATTCGACACGTTGACCCGACCCAAATCGTTGACCCAACCCGTTGACCGTCATTGATTGTCATTGACCAACGTTAACCAGAACTTTGACCAGCGTTGACCGGCCATTAAACGACCGTTGACGTTTTCCGGGTATACATATTTTAATATTTTTTGACGTCTCGAGTCTGTTTTTGGGGTCCGTTTTTCCAAATTCGAATCCAAAAGCCTCTAAATCGTTAGTCAAACCCGTTGACTTTGACTTTAATCAAAAAGTCAAAATTTCGAAAGGTCATATTTTATGTTTTTCAACGTCCTGAATCTAATTCCGAAGTTCGTTTTTCCAAATTCTGACCCGAAATCCCCGAATTGAGTTCGTTAACCCAAAAATGCTTAGTATTTTAGCATTTTTTATTATTTATTTGAGATATGGTTATGGAATTAATTCAGTAAGATATTTTATGAATGCACTCATGTTTCACCTAAGCAAGGATCAGTTAGGTCCAGTGTTGTTCGTTCGTCAGATCTGCCCGAACCGCGTACTACGAGAATTACCCGTAGGCTTCCGTAAATTATTTAAATAAAGGTTAAGATTATTCATATTAGGATTCAAATATGGATTTTTTCCGATTCGTAGGATCTAGCGCTACAGCAGAACGTGATCGACAGACCCAGTAGTAGCTTTCACTATCCGATTACTTATACTGTTACAGGTGTGTTTCCTGACGGTGTTATCTTACTGTTTTAAACTATTATCTGAATTGTTTCAAATTGGTGATAATTTTGAATATTGTTACTAAATGATACCTGATTTCTGAATATTGGTTACCCGACATCTGATTTACCGGATATTACTGATTTGATTTATGGTTTCCGTAATTTCGATATATGATTTTTCAAGCATGAAACATTTTCATGTTTTAATGGATTAATCTCTATTTTCACTCGAATACATACATGTTTATTACTGTCATTGGGGGAATAATGTTGGAGGAAGTATACCTGGAGTCTCATCGGATTTGTGTTCAGGGCTTTACTGGCTTCTCGGCTTTGTGCTCAGGGCCCTACTGGACTTGATAGTGGGTGTATGGTTCTGGGGAACCTATACATTTTGGACTTGACGGATGGGGGTAGTGTTCATATTTTTTAAAACATGTTTGATAAACCGATTATACTGGAATATTTTATTAATATATTTTTATACATTGTATGAAGTACATTGGGCTTTTTAGCTCATTTTGTAATTTTTACCCTTTTCAGATAACAACAGACCGTAATTTAGAATATTTGGCATCAGAGGAGATCAACTACTTTTACTTTTGTATGAACGAATACCTCTACATGTTTTTTTTAGTTGTATTTGGTGACATGTATTTTGCTATCGTTTTGGATATAACTGTATTATCAATATTTTGTTTCGTGTTACCTCTAATGTTTTATAAATTGTTTTAAATATAACAAGAATCTCTGAATGGGATATGCGACTGCTTAGGTTTGGGTCTAATGTTCAGGTCGGGTCTAGGGGTTACATTTGGTGGTATCAGAGCTTTCGGTTTTAAACACTCGGACTGTGGATGAGTCCTAAACCCTGGATTTTTAGGAATTTTGATATTTTAAAAAAATGTCATCTTATTTTATGAATTATTTTTTATCCGAGATCCTTGATGCTAATCTGACTTATGTTTCAAATTCTTTCTGTAGAGCCTTATAGATCCAACAATGAGCGCTGCTAAAGGTCGTAGGACAGGACGTGGCCGTGGACGATGATGAGTTTCTCGACCTCCTGTTACGATAAATAATCCGATGTCACCACGTGATCCTCCTGTTCCGCAAGTAGATCCGACCCTTTCTCATGATGATCCGGTTACTCCCGTGAGAGACCCTCTCATCACTGAAGATGAGGATACTGATATAAATGAAGATGTCATTAATAGAGTTATCTTTCACATGTTTCAGAGAGCTGCTAGAGTCCCTAGTAATATGATTACAGTCGAGATTTCGAATTCTTTGGTAGCTTCTGGAGTAATTCCAT